AGTTGTAGAGTTATCTTGACTGAAACAAGAAAAAGAGAGATGAACAATTTGGTGGGTTGATCACTTTCTGGTATCTTAACGATGGTTTCTTGCCTTGTTTTTGGGTTTGTTGGGTAGAGAAACAAATAAAAGTGAATGGCAATCATCTTTTAAAGTAAAACTCTGTCATTGTTGATCTTTTAGCGTGCATATTTGTATTATGCCTATTGAGTACCTTGGCCATCCCTACATATAGTCTACCAACTCTATGATTATTATTATTATGCAAACTTGAGTATATTATGAGAAATTTCTGTTAATGTAAATAAAATAACCTGTATATCCAGATTATATCTTTATTAACTCAATATTTCACTATCGCAGCTTCGTCAGGAGCTGATAAAGCTGTAATACTAAAATACTGAACCAATTGATATATCCTAGAAATAAGTTATTTTATTTACATTAAAGTTACATTCAGTTGTTTTACAAGAAGATATTTTTGGCAGAATTATAAAAATGATCAAAAGTACAAAATTACTTCATTAATTCTATCCAAGTGTAATTGTGACAGTATACATATTAATAATGTTTTATAACCAATAATTTAAGTTAGAAAATATTAGCACATTATTTCACTGAGATAATTGTAAACTAATAACAGGAAAATTCTAACTTTCTTTGTAAATAATATAATAACCAGTAATGATAAATGTGACAAGACCAGGACAAACCTGTGGTACATATATCAGATAGTTCAAAACAATTCTGTATTAGAATGTCACAGATTTTATACACATACTCGTCAAAAAACATTTTTATACAAGTTTTATACGCACTGTCAAAAATATGCATCATTAGACTGATGTGTTGTTAAACTGGCAATGTACTCTATTCCATGCTCAAGTAGCTGTGTATTGTATACATCAAATCTAATAGTATTAAAATTGAATACCCATTTTTATGTTTTCCTTTTAAATCTCTCAAAATGTATAAAAGCTGCTATGGAAGACTATATTACCTGCACAAGTTTTGGCAAAGCCTTCCCCAGCAAACTGGCCCATGACACCAAACCCGTAAGCAGAAGCCTGTTGAACCTCAGGATTAGAACTGACTAAAGCATCCAACATTGGCTTTAGGAAATACTGTTGATACTTTGAACATGCCTTTAAAAAAGCAGTAAGTTGGTACAGCAGTAAATATCACTGTTTACCAAATAACAATAAAAATTCAAGTATTTAAATATCTCATTGAAAAATACAATAAAACAGCATTATCCAATGTCAAGATGTAGCACTGCATTTCACACAGCTTCTTCTTTTATATTTTTGTACAGAAAAATTGAATACGTAAAACTTTGATAACAGTTTCTTTCACACATTCTCAACCACCAGCATATAAAGTAAACTAGTTTTAAAAACAATCACTGGTAGATTCAGCAACTCGTCACTTAGTTAATCTGCTTCCTATCATTAAGTTTTATAGTAGGTTGAATATATTAAAACGATTTTCAATAGGCAGATCAGCAAGTCACATGACATCCCCAACCAATATAAAATAATGGTGGAACTGCTTGTGTCAAAATTATAGTTTGACATTTCATAGGTATTGTGATAACACCAAACAATGATCCCTTTTTGGATGGGTATGTAACAAGCCTACCAACACAAAACATTCATACAATCAGACCTAGAAAAATGTGCACCCACAAACCATGGTAAGCAAAGTGCAAAATCTTGTAACAGTTGAGAATCCACAAGCACAAAGGTTAGAGGCAAAAGCCACCAAAAATTGATTGTTTTTGATAAGATTATACACAAACCTTTTCCAACACAAAATATTCATACACTCAGAAAATAAATGTGTTGAGATCAGAAATTTAGAATTTCCAAGACAGGGATATCTCGTGTATTTAATAACATTAAAAAACAAAAGAATATGGATCAACTTGGAGCACCAGGACTATCCAGAAAGTGACATGCAACAAGCCACAGTAAGCAAAGTGTGGCATCTGATAACAGTGAGGATCCACAAACACAAAGCTCAATGACAAAAGCCATCTACCTGCCCCATGAAACAGTACACAACATAATCAAGAAGGATCTCCATAAGGAAATGAAGTCATAAGTGTATGGGTTGACCAAGGTAAGGCTTCCAGTCATATCTCCCATTCAAATGCTGCATACCTTAATCAGCTGGAAGACATAGCAGTCAAGTCACCTATGGATTTCAGTGTGATCCGACTTGAAATATGTGCTGATAAACCACTGTTTTTGTAAACTATATAGACTATCTACATCTTGCAGGGAAGAGTGGTGTGCTTTGGACACAATAGCTTTATGACAGAGCCTTTCATAGTGCAAACTAAACTGTAGGGCTATATTCAAGAAGCACAGACATCCAATAGAACATAATCAGATTTGGCAACATGGACTCTAACGACATGGTGAGGCTCCAAAATACTTTTTTTCTTATATAAAGTAGTCAACCTCTGTATAAACATGCTCATTCTTTGCCACAATCTTCAAGTGATACACATTTTTATATATATACTATTTTGGTTATTACTCAATCAAATCTTATAATGTCCTGAGACTGAAACATAATTTGTTTTAATGTTTAATATGAAGGAACCAAGTCTTTACAAAATGAACACTTTTCTGTATTTTGCAACATATTAAACACATTCAGATTAACACAACAAAAAAAGATGGAACATGTTACATATTTATAAAAATTTTACATTAAAGCATCAGTGGAAATTAAATCTGGCAAGTGACAACTTGCAATACTTAATACCAAATGTAATCTCAAAAATTTACACAAAAGATTAACTTACGGAACCCCCATATTCAATGACATCATCAAATACACAGATCCCCCACTGATGGTCAGTCCATGGTCTTTCAGGACCCTAAAACAAAATATAGTAATTACATTTAAACAGACTAATATTTTTTTCAAACATGTATTGTTTGTTTCAGAATTTTTGTGCAAAGCTGTTGTTACAAGCCTTAAGCTAATTAGAATAAACAACTGTAGTTTCCTGTTACAATTTGCAGTCATTTATGTTGGTTACACAGTTAAACCAACCAAGTCCACATAGAGTGAAGGTAGAGAAAATAATATATAAAATTTAACTGAAAAAACAAAACAAAAACTTTTGATATTTATTTTTGTTTTTGGAGATTACAAAATGAAATTTGAAAATTTTAGATGAAAAAAAAGTATTGTTAATCTTAACAGGAAAATCACTTTGCACTTGGAGCAGTCAACACACTGACTCCATGTATTCACGGACAATTCTTTAGTAAAGATACTTAATTAAAAAATCTGACTTTGTGTGTACAAAAGACTTGTAATGTTTACTGAAAACTAGCCAAATTTCATGAAGATACACATACCATGTTAAAAGTTATAGTATGGATACTCTTATGATTATTGGGATTACAAGGTTGGTGTAATCCACTGATCCCAAAGAGTGAAAAAAAGTTAAATTACTCAGCCAAATACTCGAGAGAACTGTTTTTGAGATATTTGTAAAAGTGATTATTTTGAAAGAACAATTATGGCAAATCCTAAAAGCAGGATACTACTTTAGGATCAACTTTCAGAAAAAAATTTCCTTTGTACAATATTAAAAATGTTGAATTGTTTTTGTTTTTCTGTTCTTATGATATTAGAAAATTGGGACAAATTTAGTTTTTTTTTCTCAATAAAAAACTGCAAATTTTCTTCACATCTACAGGTGGACCTCAACATTTGCAGGGATTATATTCTTGGAAAGTGCCATGAATGTCAAAACTGCAAATTTTAAAACTTAAATCTCATGGGAAAAATGGGGTTAGGGACCACACCAATGGTGATGTAGGGGAAAATAAGTAAACTGAAACAAAAATAAAAGACAGTAGAGATATATATTATTTATAAGTAATATAAAACTAAAAATGTATACTGTACTGTATATGTCAAATTAAAAACTACTTAAACTCACCAGTAATGACAGGATGATGATGTTGGAGTGGGGGATTCTCTCCATCATCATCCTGGTATGAGGGGGACCCCACAGCGGTAGCACATGATGGGAACCTGTGATGGCTAGTGGATCATCAATGTCAGATGACAGTGGATCTTGTGAGACTGGAACAACTTCAGGTGAGAGTTGAGCTTCGTGTGAGTGTGGAACTTGGGCTGAGCTCATGCTTACTGTTATAATGTTGGTGGCAGGTGTGTGGTGATGGCAACCTTCTTAAAGAAGCTTGTTATTTTTCCTTGCTGCATCTCATTCTGGAAGTCCCTGTAAATTTCTTTGTAAGGAATCATACCATCCTCCAACATCCTTTTAAACTTTAAGCTGCATTCCATAAAGGGGGTCCAGCTAACCACTTTATCAACACGAACCTTGGCCATGTGCATTATTTCAGTTAATTTTTCATTGTTAGCTGTGGTTTTGGCTCCTCGGTCTCATCCTTTCCTTCACTCTCCTCATTGGTATGTATGAGCTCTACAAGATCCTCTTTGTTCAACTCCTCTTGATGTGAGTCGATGAGTTCCTCAACCTCTGCCATGTCCTCAAAGTCTTTTTCACCAATTTTGTGTGCCAAACTAACAATCCTCTGCATCTCTTCATCCACAGAATGAAAGCCTCTGAAGTCGTACACTGCTTCAGGCCAAAGCTTCTTCCAAACCACATTCCAAATGTACTGTTTTATTTCTTCAAAAGACTTCTGGATGTTATTAATACAATCAGCAATATTATATTTTTTTCTAACAATCAATAAGTAAGAGAGACAAATCAGCCTTCATCTCATCTAGTATTCCTGCAATGGTACAGCAGGTTGAAGGTTGCAATGAGACCTTGTGCCATAGGTTGTAGGAGCCTGGTGGTGTTGACAGGTAAGAATGTTAACTCCACATTCAGGTGAGTGAACTGGAGGCTTTCAGAGTGGCCAGGCACATTTGTTTAGGATAAGTAGAACTTTGAATACCAGATTTTTATATGCCAGGTACCTTTCCACATAATGAACAAAGCAGTTATTAAACCAGTCCAGAAAAACTGGAAGGTGATTCTTGTTTTTCTTTTGAGGGTGTAGTTCCAAGCCCTATATACCCAGTGGGTATTTTACACAGCTACATGATCAGCTGATGCTACTTTCCCTGCTAGCTTAAGGTTATGGAGGTTGTAATACTTCTTAAAATTCAAACAGCCCTTACTGGCTTGAAATATGTGGCTAGCAGTGGCAGTGCTACTGCCTTCACTCACAGCAGCATTGCAGAAATGGTCATACAGGTCCACCAAGAGTAGATTTTTTCTGATTCTGTCTTTTACACAAATCCTGACAACTTTCATTTTTCAACAACTGGATCACAAGATTGAATGACACTTTGGGGTACACTAGCTGCAATGCTTGCATGGATATTGGCCTCATTGTTTTTAATAGACCTCACTGTTGACTCCTTCATTCCGTAATGCCTAGCCACAGACGCTTGGTTCTCAGCTTGTTTTAATCTGTCTAATATCTGTAATTTTTCACTTGATGGAATCACTTTTTCTTCCTTTTTGCAACAGAATCACTTTCTGCACCAATTTTACAATTTGGGAGCATGATTAAGACTTTGATAGATGAGTTTTACCAAAATATAAAGAACAAACACAACTACGTGGAAGTATACAAGGCTTGTATTGTACAGTACGGAATCAGAAAAACTACAAGTGTATTACTTAACCCTCTCATGTCAGGCATCCTTTTCTGTGCATGTCACAATGTTTTAATGAATTAGATTTAAGATTTAATTAAATTACTTTCTTATCATAGTATACCAATAAATATAGCATAACAACATAGCTAATAATCCTTATTTTAGTAGTATATTAGTTTTAAGTTCATAATTTTATACGACAATACTTAAAAAAAACCTAAATTTTCCTAGTATGAGAATTGTGACATTTTCTCTCTAGGCATCCTCTCTTCTCTAACTTGTTTACCACCCCACAAAGAAATACAAAATTCAAGGTTTTCTGTACAAGAGGATTGTCAGTTTCACTTTCAGCTCAAACTTGGTTTCCACAGGAAACACATCAATGAGCTTAGATGAAGTTTTAATGGCTCTTGTCATGTAGTTAGAAAGCTTTAAAAATGGGACATTATCTGTTTGTTTTTTTTGCATGTTATTATTCTGTGTTCTTTGTTTCGTTATTTAATTAAATAAAAACTATTTAGTGTAGTACTACCATCAGTACTTGCTTAAGCTCTAAACTGCATATCGTCAAAACCCCCACCCGTGGAAGTTAAAATTGTATACATTTTAGGTCACCATGAATAGCCAGAACCATAACTATCGACTGTACTTAGTTTCAAAAAAATGTTATAAACTTACCAGTAATCTAACAAAATGGTGAATTAAATGATCAAAACATGGTAGGAATTCTTGCTTATGGGTGCTGAATAAGGAGTGCAGAATGTCTGCCACTTTACTTAGGATATAGACATCTTCATCATCCTAAGAAACAACACCAAACAACATAATTAATTAAAGATCTCTACATAAGTGCACATACATGATGCAGTTACAAAGTGTTTACATACTCAACTAATAGCACAATTCTTTAAGTCCAGAACACTTTCTCACATATTATACTTTTTGGTCTTGTATTCTCCAAATACAATCCATAAAACACTGAGAGAACTTTCTGAACTATATACTGAGTGATTATAAAGAAAACTTTATACTTCAAAATGCTTATACAGGAACTCTTTCATTTACATCGATCCTAAATAAAGTTTTTAAGAAATTAAAAATGGATCTGAAAGAAGTTGTTTAAATCTGGTTTAACATTGTTTTTGGCGGCATGTGCCAAAAATGAAAAATTCAAATCGTGTGCCTAGGCCTGTGCTGCATCATGGGAATCAGTTCAAAGGCAGTCTGCTTGCACTTCCCTCAGCCTCATTCACAGATTGTTTGTCCTATCAGCCAGTATTGAGTGATAATCCCTGTGATTATTTTTACACCAAACTTTCCAAAAACCCTTAAACATAAGTGTTCTGTATTGATTTATTTATTTTATATGTCATTTTCATTGGGCTAGATTAAATTTGAATTTTGTCATGATATAAAAGACTGTTTGGTTTAGATATTAGTGATTAATTTATAATTGTGAGTGAATATTTTCATTATTTTTAAGTTTTGTTATAATAAGAGTTAAAAGCAGATGATTGTAGAAGGTTTTGTTAATAACTAATTGGTGTCGAGAATATAGAAAAGGGCCAGACGACTATGTAATAAATATATAATTGGGTGAGAAAAGCAGGAAGCAGTAGACAGACAACAATAGACATATAATGGCGAAAGAGAATATAGTTGTGTGAAGTTAAGTACCACAAAGGTGATAGGCCTACCATTTAATATGTTAGAGTGAAACTAACAGCATATAGAAAAAAAGATAAGAAGGATAATTTTATTCCGTCAAAGCATGGTTCTAAAGTAATTGAATCAGCCTGGGTACACTTTGACAAAAGGAACAGTGGATATTCACAAGAAAGAAGACCAAACGAGTTACGGTAACTTGCACCACAACTGTAAGTGAATCACACATAGAATACTAGTACAATAGTAATATGGAAAAGATAGTTCAACTTGTCAACTGAAATTCTAAAGTAATTGAAAAGGCCTAAGTGGACTTTTGACAAGAAGAAGAGAACTATATATAAATAGTGTTTATATGATATGCCTGTAATCTCTAGTGTGAAGACTTTGTTGTACATGCGTGTAACTATATATATATATATATATATATATTATTTGGAAACAAGTAAAGTGTGTGCTTTTTATTCATCTTTGAATTTATCATGAACAAGTCACAGCCACCTACTGTAAAAGAATCCTAAGCCCAACAACAACATAATCTATATTTATACTATTAAGAGATGTAAGTAAAAGCCATTTATTTCAACAATTGGACAAAAGAACTAAAAATAATATATATATATAAATATATTTTTTTAAAATCTGACAGATGTCCTAAAACTAATCTCCAGAAATGTATCCCTCCTTTATAACACTAAGTCAAGGAGAAAACAACAACCAATTTATGTCAATATGCCTAACATTGTATTTTCTAGGAACACATCCCAGATGTAAATGGGAGTGTTACTATATCTTAAAAAAACCTTGAAGGGGGAACATTTCAGTAAGACATTGAAATCTAGTTTTCTTTATACAAGTAGTTTTAAAGATACATCCATTTTAAATATAATTTTCTCTATAACTATCTTGTACCAATGAGCCTTAAATTAATTGAAAATTATAAACCATATATAAACAAATATAACATAGAAATCCAATCAATCAAAGTAATACACAACATTCAGTGGGTATCTATACAGTACATTCCACATTTTGAAAGGTGTTCAGTTTCTTACTTTAGTTACATGTGACTGTAATTTGAGATGCGTTTTACATTATACAGAATATAATTCATTACCAATTAATATCCTTACATACAAATTTCACAATATATATGAAAAACTTCACCACAATGGAATTTAATAAAAAACTAAAAGCTCATTTTGCTCACACAGTTGTCTTCTAATACTCTTTTTATATAAAAACAGCAAAAAATTGATAATTCAAATTATTGTACTGATTTTACTTTATTCCATTAAGGCCTTTTTACATCAATAAAAGTTAGAACACAGTACTTCATCTATTAGTTCTTCTTCCACCAATTCATCATAGTCCTCATCTTTCCTTTTCTCCTGCCTTTCTCGAGCTCTTTCAAAATGATCCCTAAGGCTCTTGTCAAGGACCTTTAAAAGTTCTGCCATGTGCTCTTCTCTTAAACATCCTCGGCCAAGTACCTCTATACACTAGTAAGCAGAAAAATAATGAACTTTAACTTAAATACACTTTAAAATCCTGTTTGTTAATCACTTTTCATAATTGTTAAGCCTTTAAATTACAAATAAAAGGGAAAAAATCATATAAAATGACTGAATTATTAACAAACTCTGTGTTAGCTAGCATGAAGATACTTGAATTTCCAACTAAAAATGTAACTGGAATACAGATTTTCAGGGGAAATTCAACCCTTGACACATAACATCTATTAGGCAAAAATATTATTCAAAATCTAAAGTGGAGGACATTAAATATGCTTTAACCCATTAATATGGAAAAGTCAACAACTTAGAAATAAAATTTATGAAAGAACTTATGTTTCTTCAAATAAGGCAGAAGTACCAGCTAGGTTTTAAATCCCTCAGACATTCTATTTACAGAAGAGTGATTGTTTTACACTTTAATACCTTGGCTACAGCATGCATTTGTTCAGAAAGAACTTCCTTTTCTGGCTCACTATCCACCGATTTCAATAGTTCTGGACAAATGTACTGCCACATTTCTGCTACATACTCTTCTCCACGGATGCGAGCACATTCTAACAGGTAAGGAAGGCACTCAGCAGCTGCTGAGCGAACACTTGTGCAAGGTTAAGAAAAAACAGAACCTTCAAAATTAGGCAACCAATAATAACCTGATCATTCAAAATTAATAAACACGTATTCAAATTCAATTTCAGATGTTTAGGCTATACTGCTAATGAGGTAAAAGCAGAAACCGCGCGTTTTTTCTAGTTACAACGTCAGCTATATTATCTTTAAAAACCTACATACTAAATCTGTGTAGCATACTACGATAGCTTGTGCTGTATTACATTTTCTTCTTAAGCCTGATCTTTAAAACAATGTGAGAATTGAAGAAGTTAACTAATTAATGATTTGTTTGCTCTGTTTTAGCAAGGATTATTTTTGTCCTGTTCACAGACCAAGGGGAGTTGACACCAGATTTTAGTGTTGCAAGTCCATAAACCTACTGGGGTACACACATGGTTTTAACCCTATGTGAATGGCATTGGTCCATTGGACCTACTCCATTTCTGTGAAGCTATACATAGCAAAGTTTATTATAATACCAAAAGTATCTTTCGCGTATCTTCACAAAATATGGCAAGCTTTTAATAAACATTACAAGTTCATTATAATACCAAATGTATCTTTTGTGTATCTTCACAAATTTTGGTAAGCTTTTAATAAACATTACAAGTTCATTATAATACCAAATGCATCTTTTGTGTATCTTCACAAAATATGGCAAGCTTTTAATAAACATTACAAGTTCATTATAATACCAAATGTATCTTTTGTGTATCTTCACAAAATTTGGCAAGCTTTTAATAAACATTAAAAGTTCATTGTACATAAAAAAAAAAATCAGATTTCTTTTAAGAAAGTACTTTTACCAAAGACTTGTATGTGAATTGAAGACTTTCCTGAGTCAGTTTGAGCGAAAGGTGATTTTTCATGCAAAGAATGGAAATACATATCTCCATCTTACAATTTTTGTATTTCATTTGCATAACTTCTAGACTCTCCTAAACAAATATCAGGTTTTTTGCTAAACTTTTATACCTTTTATTTTTTCCCTAACTTAACATTAAGTGTAATGAAGTCATTTATAGCAAAAGTCCAAAAATACTCTTTCTTTTTCTAAAATGACTGCATGTTGTAAGAATTAACACATTATTTATCCTAAAGTCTCAGATTCCTCAAAGTTTAACATTGCTTTCATTTAACTTTATTGTGTGATTGCTATTTGAATCATGTCTAACTTGTGTAACAAAGCAATAAATCACCTGGCAAGCTTCAGGTAGACAAGCTATCCAGTTACATCACACAACAGGAGCTGCATGTATTCCTGATGAAGTTTTAGGTTTTCTTTTCTAATCTAACAAGTTTCTAATTTTCATATTTAGTTATTTTTGTTAAAAAATATATAACAAATATAAAATATACATATAAAAGAAATTTATCACTTTAGCCTTGAGGACTTTTGCACTCGAATGCGTGGTTTATTAAGTCTTTTTATGTTGAATGTTCAAAAATAATTCACATAACTTTTAAATATGCATTTTAGAAAACAAAAAATGCATCGGACACTAGAACAGGATGTTCCAAAACTACTATCATTTACCTGGATTTCCCACCAACCTATAAATTTGTTTTAAAAAATTCCATTACTGCTCAGAGCGCCATCTGTTGTCTAAATATATCAAGCTCCCATGGTGAATGATAGGATTTTACTGCTAAAATAAAATAAGAGGTAATAATCTGATCTACATAGTTTAGAACTTGTTCTTTCTATTGATTATAAACATGTCCAATAGCAATTTCAAAGAGAATTACAGACATTTCTTAAGAGATAGAGGACTGTCAGTGTGGATTAAAGAAATATAGTAATATCCCAATAAAACAAGGAGAGGTTTAAATTTTATATTCTGGTTTTTAAATATCTATAGGATGTGTTTCTAAATGGTTGAACAAACTGAAGACCTCATAAGGGAAGAGAAAAAAATCTAGAAATGAGAAGTCACAGCACTATTGCATCATATCATTCACAGTGGTGCAGACTGAGAAGTTATTTAAATATATTTATTTATAAAATTACAAAATTAATACTTAGATAATATACAAATTAAATTATAAAGTATTTATAGATGCCAAATTTATTAATCCTATGTAAACAAGTGGGGGTCAAAGTGTGCAAGCCACAATATTTTAAAGAGTTGATGTCAGAATTATCAAATATTCATTTTACACCACTTTGTTGATTTAGCAACAGTTTGTGGTAGAGAGTAAATACTTGATATAATACAAAGGAATACTGAAAAAAAAACTGTAAATATGCATTTGGAAGATCCTAGAGATTATGCAAATTTGATAAAGGATAAAAGTATCGCGATTCTTCACATGAACATCATCTTGCAATTGACATTTCACACATCTTCAGTACAAATACTTTTGTAACACATCTGATTTTTTATACACAGCAAACTTGTATATTTTATTAACAACATGCCACATTTCATGTAGATATACATAATGAATTTGGAATTATAGTAAACATTTCTCCAAAACAGAGTTGGTCCAACAGACTGACCTTATGCACATTGATAATAAAGTAACTTTAATCAAATATAATGATATGTACACTTTTATCTCCTTTTTTCACCCCTAATGAAAAGGATATCATCATGAAAGTAAAATCTAAGTAAAGGCACCATCAGTTTCACAACTTCTTCTGTGTAAGCAGCAAATCCCTCCTTTAACTCACGTGCATAACACACCAACATCTGACAAGCTGTTGCTTTCTCTTCGAGGCCAACTGTTCTGATTCCAAAGTTTTGCTACAAAAGAAGAAAGTTTTAATAAATTGTTCTATGTTATCTGCTATGATACAAGTGCTTTTAACTATACCTATCACTCCTACTATCAATATCATTTACCTTAAACACTATAATTTCAGTAACCAGCTGATACTAATAAATAAATCCATTACTGTTCATATGCTATTAAATCTCTCGCTATGAAGTAGGTCGAATCGATTGACCTTGTAACCATTTTGTACTCATTATAGTTTCTATACTATAACTTTTAATACACTTTGTGTAACTTCACAAAATTTTGGCAGATTTTTAGTAAACATTACAAGTCTTTTGTATACTAAAAAATCAGATTTTTAATGAAGTATTTTTACTAAAGATTTGTCCACAAACATATACAGTACTTCTATACATTAGTCCAAGTGCTAAGTGATTTCCATATTAAGATTAAACTAATTAAATCTATTAAATAAATTTCAACCGTTTTTTTTTCAGTAAAACTTTATATGTTATCTGTTATTTTCTCCACCCTAACTTTATACAAGGTTGGTTAATTTAACTGACCCCATAACCACTAAAAAAAAAATCTAAATTATCCCTTTTTCTCTCTCTAGAATGACTTCAAATTGTAAAATGAAACTACATTTGTTCATTCTAAATAGCTTCACACTCATAACAGTATACATGTATTTATACTTAAATTTTATTGCTTTATTGTCCTTTGAACCCTCACTAATTACTATTTGCACCATTTTAAGCTGTAAATCACTTGGAAAATGTGCAGCTCATGTTACCTTACACACAAGCTACTCCCGAGCATACCCTGTGAAAATTCACCTAATCCAACCTTAACTAACATAAAAAGTTTCCTATTTTTATATTTTAGTTACTTTTATAATAATAAAGAAAGAATACACGTAAAAAAACAGGAAAAAGTACTTACCTGGGTCCTTTTTTTTTTGCTGTCGACTGTCAGTGACACTTAACCTTACTTTTTTTATATTAATGGTAGTACTGCACTAAATAATTTTTTATTTAATTAAACAATGAACCAAAGAATACAGAATAATAACATGCAAAAAGCAGACAATGTCCCATTTTTTAGGCTTTCTAACTATGCGACAAGAGCTGTTAAAATTTCCTCTATGCTCGTTGATGTATTTCCTGTGGGAACCAAGCTTAAACTGAAAAAGAATTTGACAATTCTCTTTACAGAAAACAACGTAATGTAATATGTCATTTGATAGATGAAAACCTTGACTTTCTGTTGGTTATGAATAATATAGTACTGAATGGCAGAGAAAAACTATTGACAATTTCTGAAAGACAGGATGCAACAGGTGGGTGTGGTAAGAGGGGTCTGGTTGTCTATTTCATGGCTCTGTAACCAAATAAGATTGTAGGCTGTAAAAATTATGCTTTGCCTGAGTAACAACAATATTATAATAAGTAATGTATGTTAAATTAGATACTTCTCAGAGGGATGTTAAATAAATTAGTGAAGAGGGGATACCTAGAGAGCAAATGTCACAATTCTCATATTAGGGAAAGATTGACAATTTTTTTTTCATATTGTCTTATAAAAAAGAACTTAAAATTTGTGTACTACTAAAACAGGGATTATTAGCTATGTTTTTATGCTATATTTATTGGTATAATATGAAAAGAAAGTAGTTTAATTAAATTTTGAATGTAATTCACTAAAACCTTATGAAGTGCAGAAAAAGATGTCCCTGGAGAGAGAGTTAACTCTATTAGAGCAGGATACAATGATTTGACACCTGTTATGTGGATTACTTGATTATACTTTGAAAACAAACTATTGGATTAAATAGTTTGAAATTTCCTAATGAATTACTTTCTACAGATTACATAGCTTCTGCAAATAAAATACTTTTTCAAGAAACAGTTAAAAATGCTTACCTATGTTGTAATTTCAATTACTGATTTTTATGTCTTTCTACATACTTTTAAAACTTTCCTATAAAGGTTTTTTAAACTGCAAATGTTATATTTGTTTTGGTTGGAGAAACAACAAATGTAGTTTTACTGTGTTTACGATCACTGGTATAAAATAAAAATAACTTTTACCATACCAAAATTATAATTAAGACAACTATAACTGTTAATCATTTACTATATGTAATAAGTTTAAACCTGTTTTGTATATATTTATTTTTACATTTCTTGTCCATGATTTTATTTGCCAATTCAAGCAATTAAGTAAGTTTTGTTGGCAAAATGAAACTTGATATTGTCAAATGTAAAAATTATTTAACTAAGCCTACCTCATCTTGTTCCACACACACACAAAAAACATTTTCCTATCATACTTCAATATCATAATTCAAATGCAGTAAAATAATAGAGCAAGCTTAAAAACAAAAAAGAACTTTAACTGTAGTGGAAGTTGTTCACAAAAGCATTTTCTTCTAGCAACATACCATGAAGCTAAGCTTCTATCACTTCATTAAAATCTCAATAAATATTGGCTTATACAGTTCAAAAGAACAGAAAACAAGAGCTTTCATGACATGCACAAATTAGTAGCTTATATGACTTCTCAAAGCTGATATACAGGCAATTACATGACAGCCAAGGTTTAGAAATGGTGATTGGCTAGAAATTGATAAAACTACACTTATATTTAAGTTACAAAGACAGGTTAGCTCTATTTTAGTCAAAACATTATAAATTTCTTATAGGAAGCTAAGAGTGCCATATTATGCTGAGACAAAATTCAGGAAGTTCACAAACATGAATGATTTCATTGGGAGTTTGCTGAACTCAACCCAATGTCAAAATTTGCTATTTTTTTAGTTTCTATATTCAACTGAATAAATAAAACATTTTTCTGAATAACTTTCAAATTCAACTGAAGCTGTTGGTTTTGTGTGTGAAAGTTTATTTTCTAAAAGTTTTGAATTCAACAATACAATTGTGCCCTTATGATAGACTGCACCCATATGGGTGTGAAAGATTTAAAACATGAAATCCCAATTAAACTATATTACAGCATAAGCTCAATAACAAATTTATAGCAAAAAACACTGAATAATATCTAAAATATAATAATTATGACCAAAATTACTTGTAATTCATCTGACTGTTTGGTTGAATTAACTATTATTTTTTTCACTCTAATACAATATAAAATGACTACCTGTTCACCAAGATTAACAAATTGCCAGTCATCATCTCCTTCAACCACTTTCATGTCTTCACCTATATAAAATATAGAATAAAATATTTTAATTTGATACCAAAAAATTTAAAAATATTATATACATGCACAACTAACAAAATTTATATTGAACAGTAATCTGTGTCATTTCAAATTTTCTGGACCTATTTCAAACATTAGTTTCCAATCATGAAAAATTGATAAACGAGGAAACTTTTAAACAGCATTTTGCAACATCTGATAAAACAGCAGACATTACTGATATTATGGAACCTCACACTTCCTGTACAGGATCATACTAAAACATGGAACAGCATGGAACACATTATTTCATATAATTAAAATTCCAAATTCATGGTAGCAATAGATAAAGAAAATGTTTATAAAAAATTTTAATATTACACAATACTCAATAAACACAGACAAAATTCCCTAAATTTCCAAAAGCACAGAACAGAAGAGTCTATTTGGAACAGACAGCCTATAAAATTCTCTTAGCAGGTTCTAATCATCCATATAAATATCTGAATAAAAGTTAAATAGCTGTTTATTCCATTTCATTGACACCAAATTCTTATTCAGATAGAAGTGTACATGTAAAACATACTTTCGTTGCTCCAATACCTCTACTTTAATGCAGACACATTGCACTAATAGTTTCCCTAACTAGGAGCAAGGAAAGCTTCGATGTTAATTATTTTACCAAAAATTACCAACTAGTACAATTATCATAGTTCTTGTTAATAGTTCAGTGTTAAAAACATATTATTTCCTGTAACTAATACCAAAGTGGTCAGTGAAAATTTCTTGAAAGCAGCTGAAACAGATGGGAGTCTCAAGCCTTCTAAGCTTCAGGAGTTTTACCAATCAAAACTGCATTACCTGGCACATGTAGCTCAAGTTTTAATTTAACTAACCCTTATATTAAAAAATAAATTGTCCCTACATATATCCAACAGTTTGACAATTGACCCGTTTGAGCTTTGGTGAAGTGCCCAATAAGGTTCAGTTACGTTCAAAAATGTGGGAAACAAATCAATCGAAGCATTTATTGAAATTAATATAACATATCAAAATAACAACAACAAAAAAGAAGTATGTAAACAGCTTTGTATTATTTATATTCCCAGGTGATTGTTCAAAATATAGAAATTACCAAGATAAAACCTATTGGAGTCACTTCTTCAAATTTCTTTCTTTGAAGTTATGGCATTGAACAATCTACCACACAATGTATGACTTGAATTGGCTTGATTATGAATCAATAAACAGTACATTTCTTACTTTGTGGAAGGCAACTGATCAATTTTCACAAATTCTCATTGATGCAATAACAGAATGTACCAAAGTAGGTACCAGTCAAAATTCTCATATTTGTACTGATCTCAGAAATTATCTTTGATATTGAAAAAACCTGGAAAGCTGGTAAAATCTCCTCCCTGAATTATCTTTAAAAAGGCTGAAACATAAGCATCTACCTAGAATAGCCTATAAAATGCTTGGAATAGGCTTTATTCATCCAAATGGTATTAAAGTACAGGCTGGAAACGTTTTTTTGCATTATACTGACACTTGTTTTGGTTTAATGGTTCTACTTTAATATGGACATACACTGTGTTCACAAGTACAATGACATTTTAAAAAGTAAAAACCTTCTTCATACAGAAATAAAACAATATTGTTACTCTGTTGTCTTTACATACTGGTATCTTTACTAGTCTCCTATATTTCAAAGGGAACCCTTGGATTCAACTACATTTAAAATTCTCACTTTATGTCTGTGAAATATGTCAAATATTTTGATTTAAAACCAGCTGGCCAAAAATATAATGTCAGAGAAGATTTGATTTTTTAACTTTCATAATGTAGAATCTGTAACATGACATGCTACTAGCAATTACCACAAATCTATATTATATAACTTTCAAATGGCCTGTTCATGTAAACAACACTCCATGTAAAAGTTACCATTTTAAATGACTGAAATTAAGAAGTTATTTTAAACTATCATTATACAGAATACAGTAATAGCAGTAGACTGTTTTGTGTAAATTATATGCTTCAAGAGACTTCTTAACTCAACACTTGTACTTTTAAGTTCTAAATATTAAGGCTTAATTATTGATGCAATGTATGACACAGAAGTGTATTTTTTTTACAAACAAACTTTTTTCATGCCTCACCTAACCCTCTACCCTCTCACTGTGGGCAGGTCAAAGTGTGCATGTTACAACTTTTTAGTTACATTCAAAATTTAATTAAACTCCTTTATTATTATAGCATAAAAACATAGTTAATAAATCAAATTTTAATATTATATGTTTTAAATTCTTAATTGTATAAGGAAATATTTAAAAAAATACTCAATTTCACCCCAGTATGAGAATTGTGACATTTGCTCTTTTAGGATCCACTCTTCTGTAATTTATTTACCACCCCTCCATGAAGTATGAAATTTAACATAAATTACTTATTATAATACTTATTACTCAGGCAAAGCATAATTTTATAGCCTCCAATTTTACAAAATTACAGAGCAACAAAATAGAAAATCAGACCCCTTTTTCTACACCCACCTGTCACATTCTTTCACAAATTGACAATAGTTCTCTCTGACACTTAATACTATATTATTCATAACCAATAGAAAGCCAAAGGTTTAATCTATCAAATGACATATTATATTACATTGTTTTCTGTAGTCTATTTTGCTTCCAGTTCAAACTTTATTCCCATGGGAGATGCATCGATAATCTTAGCTGAATTTTGAATGGCTCTTATTGCATAGTTAGAAAGCCAGAAAACTTATGATTGTTGAAGGACATTGATTTTTATGTGTTATTATTCTGTATTCTTAGGTGCATTACTTAATTACATAAAACATTATTCAGTGTATTAGTACCATTAGTATATAAAAAAAGGAGAGTTAAATTTCACAAACAGTCACTAGCAAAAAAAGACAACATGTAATTATTATATTTTTTGTTTTTCATTTTTTATTATAAGATTAGCTAAACTTTAAAAATTGAAAACTTATTAGGTTAGCTTAGGTTACATTAGGTTATCGTGAAAATCACTTTGTGCTCAGAGCAATCAACACTCCATATATTCATGGAGAAATGTTTAGTAAAAATACTTCATTATAATTTCTGATTTTTTGTCTATAAAAGACTTGAAATGTTTACCGAAAGCTTGCAAAGTTTGTGAAGATAATATAACTTTTAAAATGTTTTGGGTATGGAAAAACTAATGGTCAATATGAGGTCAAGATTTAGGTTGAATCGACTGAACCTGTTGAGAGAGAATTAATGATAACAGAAAATGTGTGCATTCATAATAATAAATCTTGTGATTTATTCAAAGTTAATGATTTTGGTCCAAGAAAACAAAGTATCATATTTTACAATATATAAGACACTTTTTTTTTATCCTGAAAAAAGCCTCTAAAAATCATCCTGCAGTTAAAGAAAATACATCTCTCAGTTTTGCCCCCATAATCCAAATTCTACCAAGTCTTTCCCCAGGCTACTGTAGATTAAAATATAAAAATTAATCTATACAAAAATACATGATTAGACTTATAATTAATGAAAACAGTTTGCTAAATATATGAGTGGATTTATAATAGATAATAATATTAAAAGATAATTAGTGTCAGTATAACTGAGCAGCTCACCAGGTTATTTAGTGCAAAGCAGCAAGTATTTCTGAATTCTCATGAACACTACTGTCTACTACAGTTCCTATTTGCAACATGCAACAGTTCTTAAACCTGACCTTTTCCCTTATGGCCACATCAGGCCAGTACAGTTTAGGTGCTGGGGACACTGATATCCACAACAAACGCCCACAGAAATATGCTTGTCATTTGAAAAATAATCTATTAATTATGTCTTCTTACCCTGGAGAGACTAACAGTGAATTCTGCTCTTTATATTGGTTACAAGAACCCCATTCAAGGACAGAAAAGTGTTTTGATACACTCACGTTTTTTTTTCTAAATATACTTTGGTAAAATATCGGTGCGTCTTATATGCCCTTGCATCTTACCTGCTGTAAAACATGGTAATAAGTTTTGATCAGTAGTGTAAAAAATAATTTTTTTTTCATGTGCTAAAGCCAAACTAATAGGCATGAGAAATGTACAGGCACAACTGAAATTCTAGTAGTTCAACTAAATTATTAAAAATTGCAAATGTGTACATATTTACATTCATTGCAGAGACTTCTTCCACAATATTACTAAACTTAAAATAATACAATTTATTAAAAGATATGTGACGAAGACAAAACCTATGGGCAAGTTTAACAGTGTTCTCATGTGAGACTGGTATTCCTAGCATATTGAAAATAATCATTGAATTCAAAATATTTATCAACATAAAAACTCTGGGAAGGTTCTACATATTCAACAAAATCAAAGGCAAATGTCAGACTGACACTTGAAACACCTCATCCTTTTTCATCACACCCAGGAAAAAGGCTACAGAGTTCTGAGTAGGCAGTCCAGTCATTTTGCTCACAGCTGTTTCATCTTATATCATTAAAGCTTTGCATTAAAAAAATAACTCCCAGAATAAAATAATCACATTGATTATAGAAAGTGCTATAAATATGAAACTAAACAATGGGATATTTTACTTGAAAAGTCAGTAATTGAGTTATGCACAGTTGTTTGTATATCAGGCTTATGACAGATTAGCCTGTCATTAATAAACAGGCTACCAATCTATCAAAAAGTTCAATGACAGTATATATTTAATGATATGACAGAAGGAATAAGAGATTGCACGTGTATAAAATTGAATTATACATTTAATTACAAAAATGCTAACATTCCAAACAAGCAAAACCACACTGGCCTTGGATTAATATGTTATTCAGAGTAGCCCAAATCAATGTTTGTTAGTACTGGGTGTTAAGATAATTAATTTTTATACCCCTGTAGATATTTTTATTAAAACATTTTATTACATATTTTGTAAAAAGTTCTCAATTTCAATATATTAATTCATATTTCACTAAACAAAAACATCAAGAGCAGTAATATTTTTAATCTCCCAAATCTGACATATTTAATTAGACTAATACAGAATGCATAAGACATGAATAAAAGTATGCATATCAAGGCCAAATAACAGCACTCATCAAATAACATCAAGTGTTTAAGTCTGGCAGTTATGCCTATTATTCTCAAATAAAATTATTATAAGAATATCCTCATGGAAACGAAGGTGTGCACTAATCTTGTAAATACTTTCCACATTATCAAAGTTCAGTTGAAGCCGAATTAATTATCTGATTAAAACTAAAATTAAGAGTATTTTAAAATTAAAGAATGCAAAGGAAATTTTCCAGTAATTAATTTGAACACTATCAAAATTTTCAACATAAAACTTACTATCTAGAAGAGCAATCTCTGGCTTCATGGATGCTGCTTTCAATACCGGTCCCATCACACAAGGAAGATAAGGCTCAAACTGTTTCCCAAGAATCTTACATATCCTAGCCCAGGCCGAGATCATGTAGGATAACTTGAAAAAACAAAAATTGCAAAACATACATTTTTTTGTCATAATCACATCAAAGCCTAAAATATTTTACATATTTAGCTCATTAATCTATTACAGATTATTGCAAAATTAAAATTAGTTTTTAACAATACTCTTGAAAAGTACAAAAATGACTTGAATAAAAGCAATGATAAGAAGCATATGCATAAAAAATTTGATTTTTTTGATAGAGTTACAAAACCATTCATTTACTGCTTCACCCCTATTGGTCATTTAACTAGACATTGTTTTACAGAGGAAGAAAAATTATAGGTCATTTATAATGAGATAGGAAAAACTAAAAAACATGTATCCAATTACAAAAAAAACCTTTAACAAAGAAAATAGAGATGGAGAGTTCTGTCAACTAGGATAAGTTTGGAAATTATCATTTTAATTGTTACCCACGATTATTTTGCATTACTAGTTCAATGTATGGGTTTAGGACTAACCTAAATCTCTTGAATCGACAAAATTTTGTAAAACATTGATGGGTTTAACAGCTGCAGATATTGTTAGCAGCACAAGTTATTGATAACTATTTAGTAGTAATGTGTGTGTAAAATATGTTTCAGATGAAGAACTATTTATAATAGTTATTTACAAAACAACAAGTATCAAGATGTAGTATGCCTTATCTGGTGTATCATCAAATTTAGTAGTAATGTATGTGTAATAATACATACAAGAATAATGTTTCAGCTAAAACTTTGCATGTTGCATCTAGTTTTGGAATTAAAAGAAAAGCCCCATTAACAATAGCATACATAGAAGTATAGTTGAAATGCTATTATACACTCTTCTTAACTTTTTGTCTATGAGCAGCCGATATATCGGCATGCTTGTTTTCCAACTTGGGTGAGCTGGTAAGTCTTGTTTCATTTCATGATCAATCCCACATTTTAAATGCCTTATATATTCAATACAAAACTAGAACAACTTCGGTTAATGAAATATCTTCAATCTGAGCATCAATTTGATAGAAGAAAGATGTGTTTCAATGATTTATGCAAGTGTTTTGAACCCCTACTTTGAAACAAAGAAAATGACCTCACTTTGATAAGCCTTGTCACTTTACTTCTGAGCAAACTAGGAAGTTATTTGAGGAACTTCTGAGCCATCAAAATAACTTTATTCCCAGTGATCTTGATGATGATGATGATTTTGAAATTGAAAAATCTGACTTAGATTAGTGAAAGTGAGAGAAAGAGTCCAGTGGTGTTACTATGAGGAAAAGAAAAGTAGGGTCTGGATCTAGACCTAACAAAAGGAAAAGGACGGCTGTAGGAGCAGGAGGATATTATGAGAATGGTGAAGTAGCATGGAGAATAGTAGAAAAAGGAGAGAATGATGTGAACTCCATGAATCCAATAAAACGTGAAGCTGGATTTGGAAAAAAGGTTTCACCACAGGATTTCCTCAAAGCTTTTCATGACAGAAAAAATTGTGGTCACTTTGATTTCTAGCATCAATACATATGCAGCAAAGGATTTGGATAAAAACAATCCTCCAATAAAATTATCATCATTTGCCTTGTGGACACCAGTTACTTCAATTTTAATTGCTATGGGTTTGGACTCTCAAACCCAGGATCAGGATATCTCTACACACCCTAGTACCATCAGATGTTTGCTAGGAACAGGTCTAAGATCATCTACCACAGCATGCTTCATGTCTGCAAACCAAATGCTGAGCCATTTGTAGAGAAGTTGTTGGAAAAGTTTCAGGCTGCCTTCTACCCATATGAAAATGTGTGTATTGATGAGATGGTTATCAGATGAAAAAGCAGATTCAAGCACAAGCATTTCAATGCATGCAATCCCCAAAAATATCACATCAAAAAATTCAGGCTTTGCTATTTGGCAATGGGCTATGTTATCAATTTGAAAATTTATTTTGTAAAGAACACAGCATACAACCCTGACCTTGACACCAACTCTGCTCATGCTGTCAAAATATTTGACACTCTTCTGAAGCCAGGGCATTATGTGTTTGCTGACAGGTACTACACTTCAGCAGCTCTTGTAGACTATCTACACACACACAGCTTCAATTATACTGGAACACTCAACATCAACTGTGTTGGTTTTCCTGCAGAAGTGAAAAGTCAGAAACTTGACCATCAGAAAGTGGGGTGATTTTTGGATTCAGGAAACAAAATCGTGTTTTGGTTGGAGAAATGAAAAGGCATAAAAGCCATGTGTGTTGGTATCAACCAAAGCTCCAGTTCAAACCATTCAAAAGGGAGCAGGAGCAAACACCATCATAAAGCCAAAAGTTGTGGATGACTACAACATATCGATAAATGGCTGCAATTGCATGGACCAGATAGTTGGATGTTATAGTATTCCCAAAAC